GAAACGTCTTCAAATCTTGAAAACCAAGTCCAGTGGATATTTTTTGAATTTTTTTTTTATTTTTACGGATACTACGGATGTATTTCTGGTTGTTCATGCATTAATTAGCAGAGGGTACGGATCATGGTACTGGTACAGATTGGGTAGTGACGGCACTGCTTGCTAGCCAGTTGCTAGATTAGCCAATGCTAACGAACTGTAGCTGAGCATCATCAAGCATTTAACTCACCTGTCCATGAGAAAAGCATTAATCTCCACATAAGTTCTTAAGTTGGCACCAGTGTTAAAAAACTTCTCCAACATTCACCCTCGTTTTGCTGTTTTGGTTTGCTTGAATCTGAGTAATGTATTGCTGAGAGAAAACAGCTTTTTCTCATAGCTTTCATGGAGCTATTACAAACAGGCGATGCCTTAGCTCCATCACGAATGATTTCAACCCACTGTTACTTTGAAAGATCGGGGGTTCAAATCATGGACGAGCCCCCAATTTATTAGGCCTGGTTGAAGCCATAACAAATGAAGGGAAGCAATTCATGGAACAAATTCCTCAAAATGAGCACCTTGATGTATGTGCTTTAGAATGGCTTTTTAGACATTCACTGCTCTCATTAAGTCATAAAAAATAAAAGAAAATAACAGTCAGTTCAAGTGTTTTATAAAATATGTGAATCAGGAAATGATCTATATACCATACTGAATTATTGTTTTTCTCTACTCCAAAAAACACATAATGAAACCCCAGCTTGGATGGCATGCCCAAACAGAAATTAATAACACTGATAGAAGTAACAACATCTATAAGATGAGACAATTAGAGCATAAAACACCCTCAGAAAAAAAAGACAAACCTACAGCATGAAGAACCATTAGAAAGAAAAAAGAAAGGACATTTGCAGTTATTTATGTCTCCAGATGTTCAAGTGGTGAAAGTATCCAAAAAAAAACCTAGAGCCACAAGAAGGACTCAAAACAAATATACATGATACTATAAGGATTTTCTGGGTAAATGTACATGAAATGATTTGTATAATTATATATAAACTCTTAACAGAGAGGAAGCAAAAGATCATCGATTGCTATCAAACTATGGACACATTGGTATTTGGTAGTTTGTGGCATTTACACACTTTCTCTCACAGTGTTTAGGCGAAATCAGTGGCCCTGTCTCTCAAAACTCAGGAAGTGTTCAATGAAGGACACAGTGATGTCAGAGAGTGCAGCAGTTGCCAAGCAACACAGTGTATTTCGTCAGGGTAGCATAAGAGTTTTGGGGAAAGGGAAAAGACAGATGCATACATCTCCAGAGGCCTACTTGAGGATTTTCTGAAATGTTGGGTTTATTCATGAACTGTGAGCTACTCTCACACACATCTTCCTCACACAAACCCAAAGATGCGTCATCAGATGGATATGAGTCATCCCCTCCACAGAGGAGAACAGATGTATGATGGGACTTTTTTGGGTGTCAGGAAGTAGAGTGTACATCAGTGTTACCATTAAAAATGATTGATTTTCATAGAAAGAAATGACAGTTGTGGGCGTATCGGGGGGTGGTGAGCACTGCTGTCCAACAACAACAAGGTTCTGGGTCCAAATCCCAGAGATTTCTGGTGTATTTTGATATTCTCCTGCTGTCTGCATGGATTTTCACTCCCAATTGTATTCAACAAAACCGTGAAACTTTTGGTAAATGATTTTAGAAGACCGTTACCACCTTTTTTATGTTTTCCAAAGTCACCTATAGGCAAATATATAACAAAGATACATATTTAGATCTATCTGGGTATTTATTTTGTTATGAAATATAAAGTTGTTTTCTCTGAATTCTGAAAAAAAAAAAAAAATCTTTAAAGCTAAGCTGCCTCTCCCCATTTTGATGACGCCGCCACTCCTCAGGGCGGAACAAATTTCTTTGAAGCCCCAAAAAACCCCAACAAATTTTCTTGTTTTAGAATTTAGCTGAAAAAGAAACGTTGCTTTTCTATGCAAATTAGCTGCCTAAAAATTCACTTCATGTCGAGTTTAAATCTGGATCATAGCGTTAAAATGAGTGGAAAAAGTGGGTATTGGTTTACAGTGCAGGCGCAGCGCAGTTAAGGTGGCCGCTTCCTCTGTGTTTTATTTAAAACACACGCAAATAAAAATACTCTGGGGGAACATTTTGAACACTTTATGGTTCCAGATTCGGCACCATGAGGCCCCAATACGTCACACGCATGACTCCCTGCTCCTTTTCTGCGCTCATGGCTTCTTTTCTTATCGCCTGCAGTTTCTGTTTGCTTGGGTCAATGTTTTTTTGTCATTTTGAGGGAGAAAAAAAAAAACTTCTTATCTCTAACTATACACACACATACATACACATACATACACACGCACACACACACACACCCGTACACACACATACTCGTTCTGCCATCCTAATGAGGACCATGTGTTGACTCCCATTGATTTTCAGTCATTTTCAACCCTTTCTATGCCCTAACCCTAAAAATAACCCTACACCTAACCATTACCAATGCATACAGTACCTCCCCCTAACCCTAACCAATTGACACTCAGCCCTAAACCTAACCTTTAGCAAAATAGCATGTGAGGACCGGCAAAATGTCCTTACTTTGCAACAACTGGTCCTCAATTTGATGGTGAAATTGAAAAAAATTGTCCTCGCTCTGAGGGCTAGACAGGTACATCCACACACACACACACACACATACAGTACATATATATACATACATAGTACACACATACATACATACATATATACACTCATCTGCCACTTTATTAGGCACTGTACGTCAGTCACTTAAAGACTCAACAAAAAGCATATAAGTTTGTGTCTGTAGCATAAAAAAAATCCACAGGGTTTTAATACTTTTTATGGATCAGAATTAGTGAAGTCCTAAAGTTAAACCACATTAATGTGTAAAGCTTTGGTTTTACCTTGAGGCATACAGACGCTGTTCAGTGGGACTTGATAATTGGCTTCTGAACCCTTGGAACCGCATAAACCCTTTATGCTTTTCACTTTCATGTCCAAAGACCCCCCGCTCAGCCCCAACACTCCACATGAAACATGGCAAACTTGGAGCGGTTGGGGAAGTTTGGTCAAATTGAAAGTATATGTGCTGTGGATGGATCAGCTTTAAGCTGCTGTTGTTTGGTCTACTTCTCTCAGACTGTTTTTTTTAATGCAATACTTGCTATTAACATTTGTTAAAGTCTGTCTTGTTTTCTTTGTTTTCCTACAGGTCAGTCTGCCAAATGACTCCAGCTGTGTGGAAGAAATTTTGCGGGTATGTTCTCTAGACACACACCAATACACACACACACACAGGGTAATTGCACTGATTATCAGCTGTTTTGTGTTTGCTCTGAAAGACTTTGGTTCTTCTCCAGAGAATTTGATCGTAGGAAGAAATGACCGAATGTAGAGCGAGAGAATAGGAAACAGAAGGACTAGAATGCAGAGGAATGGAAAAGAAAGAGATAGTTTGGCTCTGGCCCATGATTAAGGATTGTTTTATTGGATGAGGTCATGCCGACATCACTGCAGTTTTTCCCTCTTTTTAGCCTCCATCCGTATGCTTAAAACAATCTCACTGAATAACATGCTTTTTCCACAGTTTCCCTTGTTCCTTGTCTCTGAATGATGTCAAAACAGATGTTTACTCTGTTAGTCCTCTGTCAGCAGTCCCACTGACAAAGCCCGGTTTGAATTGCTTAGTTAGCTCCTTCACCTTCGTCTCTGCTGTGGAACTGAATGCCCTCCTCTCTGCCGTCTCTTTCTCTTCCTGTCTGTCTTCCTCCGCTCCCTCTTCTCTGCCCTCTGTCATTCACCTCGCTCTCTTTTTCACAAATCAATACGCGGGTCAACAGGCTTTGTGACAGATTGTCTGCTGCGAGCTGCATGAAGAGCCTCTGTCAATAATATCGGCGCACCATTGAATTCAGTGTGTGACGGTTAGCTGTGTCAAGTACAAAGATCTGGGAGTTCAAAATGTGAGTTGGGGTGAATCGGACCGGAGGCTCGCGGCTCATTTCTTTCTTCTCTCTGCGATGGTCGTCAGGGAAACGTGGTTGTTCCAGATGAAGGGGAACATAGTCGAACGGTAAAAAGATGTAAAGCAAAACATGACACAGACAGGCTTTACTGACTGTCAGGACTGATGGCTTTGTCTGTCTGTTAAACTGACAGCGCGATGCTGCTCCAATAAAAGCCCAAGCTGTCGTTATGATTCACACTAGGCTGTGGTTGAACAACTTATGGCGACACTCTGCTTTTTACTCCTTTAAGAACATCAATCTTTTTGGTCTGTGGAACAAAACACAAAACTATTTAGTTTTAGGTTTTATTTATTTATTTTATAAATAAATAAATATTTTATATTATATATATATATATATATATATATATATATATATATATATATATATATATATATATTTAAAATGTGAAACAAAAGGAGTAAAAAACAAATAACCAGCGATCGAAGTCGCCTGTTTGGGACCAAACTGTTCATCTGTCCATCTGTCCATCTGTCCATCTGTCCGTCGCCTTCCCCACTTATGTGAGATCTGGTCGCGCGGTAACAGGTCCGGAATAGAAAGCCGTCTCCACTTCTTTATTGGGCTTTCCAGCTCTTTGCATAGATTAGAAACCAAATCCACCCCCTTCCACCTCCTTCTGGGGTGACATGATGCCTGGAAAAATGTCCAAACGGAGGCTTCCAGAAGGCCTCCTGATTGAATTTGTTAACTGTAGCTTTATTTTAACTTCATCAGGCTGACTCCAGTCACCATATGTAGGAATGGGATTTCAGCTGCTTGTATTCAAGATCATTTCTTTCATTTATGATATATTGATCACATGCAGGGTCTGAACGCAGACAAGTAGGTAAAAAAAGAACTTTATCCTTTAAATCTCTCCTCACCGATACAGATTACTGTAGCACCTCTTCATTGCAGGAGGATAACATAGTCTGTCTGTCTATCTCTCACTAATGCCTCATTTATCATTAATCCTGAACAAGTCAGTAATACATCTGGACTCCCTAACATTGAGGCAGAAACTGACCTCTGACTTGAGGACCTGACACATTCAGGCTACTCCACACTTAGCAACGAACCGCTAATCCAACCAATACTAAAGGTCATGGCCTTAAAATCCCAACAGATTAGAGCTGCACTATATATCAAAATACAATCAATATTACAAAATCAGTGTTTGAATGTCAGTATCAGGAAGGGCTGCTTGAATGCAACATTTGAAGAGCCACAAAATTTCTCGTTCCCTGCTCAGAATTCCTGTTGTTACCCATTTGCTGTGACTTTTCCTGACCTTTATACCCACACCTGAGAATAGTGTAGTGTCCAAGCTGCTAAAGCCCTTCAGGAGGGCTGGGTACATTTTGAAGAAGGAAAAGAAAGGAAAGAGTTATAATATAGGGATTACTTACAATTCATACAATTATTTTGAATCTGAATTTACTACAAGAGCATTTGCCTCTAGTATTATGCAGCCTTGCCTATGAACATCATCATCTGCAAAAAAACGCAACTGTGATGAAAGACAAATATTCAGCTCATATCGATGTATTTATTTAATGTCAAATCATAACACACCCGTCTAAAGTACTTTACTAAAAGAATTAAGCCAGTTCAGTCATGCAGACAGATTTCAAGTCGACATGTCAAATTTATCCTAGAGGTTGGATAATGCATTCAAGTTCATTTTGTTATTAAAAAAAAGAATTTCACCTAAGGAACCCAAAAAATATAGATACTTACCTTAAACTGCAAGTTGACTCCTCCTTGCAAGTAGATGGCACCCTCATGCTAGTTCCAAAAATCAGTTGTACTTGCCCATACCTAAACTGTACCATCAGCTAATTTTTACACATGCAACCATAAATTCATCCAGGTCGCCATACAGTAAATAATGTAATTGCTTTAAAAAATGTCCTTATTTCTATCCTTAAAGTATTAAGGCATGCTAAATTACATCATATAAAATAGCAAATTTACATCAACATTAGGCATCCCCTTAGAATTGATCTTGTGATAAAACATAATGTGATAAAATATGTTTTGATGGGAGTAGGGCAGAGGTCGCATTTCTGGAGCAGGTTAGTACAGACAAATATGACAAAAAGGATGAAAGCGCTTTTATTCTCTCAGCTTTATTTTGGTAATTTTTCATAAAAATGCAAATGATACTACGGATGCTGATGAAGGTTCTCAGTCATCCAGGTCATAGTCATTCCGTAAAAATAAAAAAAAATTCAAAAAATATCCACTGGACTTGGTTTTCAAGATTTGAAGACGTTTCGCCACCTCTCCAGGAAGCTTTCTCAATT